TTTACAACTCGATTTAATTCGATTATTAAATAAAAGAAAAATATAATCAAAAGTAGAAGAAACATTGTTTTGAAAAAATCAAATAAGTTAGCAATAAAAAGGTGTCCAAATCGGAATCGAAAAATAAAAGTTGCAAGTTACACAGCCTGTTTAGTATTTAATCTTCTTTCATATATCAAAGGAAGATTAAAAATTCGTTCGGAAAACCATCAAACTTTGTAGAAGAGGAGTATTTTTTTTTTGGGTCCCTTCCGCAGACAGAATTATCATAATTAAAAATGAGTTAAGCTTCATATGAAAGAAATACAAGGAGATATTTATAAATATTTACGTAGCTATCAAACTTTCTGTAGGTGATGCCATCTATAAAAGTTGTAGAGAACTGCTTCCTCAGACCCCTATTTGATAAAGTAACATGTAAGCTTGGGGCGAACTAAATAGGTAAAATAAATAAAAAGTAGAAATGTGTATCATTATCTTAATAGGTCTATTATAAAATTGTGAAAAGAAAAATTTAACGGTCAAAATGAACTTCCTTTTAAATAAGGTTTTAGTTACCTAGACATGAAAACTAAAAAATATAGGAATTGTCAAGAACGCCCTCTATGAGATCAACCGACATTTAAGTGGGGTTCATGAGAGCTTTACTGCATTGAGAAACAGATGGCGCTAAAGAATGGCCTTTTCGAACGCAGCTGTGGGCATCTAACGTTTGTTTCATGAATTTTATAGTTTAAAAGTCTCGTTAGTCAACTACTCTATGAAGAAATAGGGCGGTTTCAGACTAGCGTTTTATACGCGCGTATGAGCTGGTTTTTGGAAGCGCATGTAGGCGCGTATAGGCGCGCCTTTTGGCACACGCTCAACTCGTACGAGCGTTGACGCGCTTCTAAGGTCGTTTAGAATCACTTCGCAGTTCTGGGTAAAGTGTATTAAAGTGACCGGTTATCAGTCTTGATGCAACTATCGGTGACACCCAGCACTTTTTCCGTCGTCTCAGTCGACGGCGAATAAGTAACGCAAAAAGTAATGTTTCTTCGTCAGAATCCATGTTGATACTGACACGATACCACCGGTTCGAGCGAACACGCCGAAATATGCGCGTTTACGCGCGTCCGGTTTTTTGAAGCGCGTAATGTAGCGCGCGTGTAAGCGCGTATACTGAAACGACCGTATACGCGCTGAAAAAAACGCTAGTCTGAAATCGCCCATAAAGTACAATGATAATAGATACTCTGGTTTTGCTAATAACATTCGCTGATATAGCCATTACAGGATAAAACACACACATTGCAGGATAAATTATTTTTTCTGCATGCTAGAGACACTTTTATAATAACAAAAACTATAAATTTTATACAAAATGTTTCTACCTATTTAGGTTGTCTATTTAATGGGTTCGTTTTCAATATTTTTTCCGCTTTTCTTGACCTATTGAGAAATAACTTCAATGGAATAATTCGAACAATGAACTCAATAGTAATAATTTGAATGTTCGAACGTTTAAGTGATTAAATAAATACTCAACTGTTAGTAATAAACAATAAGGATGACCTTGAAAATTTGTATGTAAAATATATATTTTTTATAATGAGACTAAATATCAAATTGAACGGACAATACATGACTTGATTCAATACTAGCTTAGAATATCACTTTGCTTCAATACTAGCTTAGAAAATTATGTCCTTGCCTTTCCCATATAGTGACATTACACATTGAGTAATCTTTACGGAATAATTGGTATGTGTTTTTGAAAGTCGTAGTTGTTCTTTTAAAATCATTTAATGTATTTCTATTAAACTTTACACGAAAAAATTCCTTAGGCACTTCTTTTTTATATACACATAGACTACCTAATTTCGACGTCATCATAGCTCTAGCTAAACGTTATATATTATTTTATTTTTAAAGATTATTTCTGTTAGCCCAGAGGCTTTGACAGCGTCACCGGGAGAGTGAGCCAGGGCTGAGACCCGTTAGTCATATTACGTATGTTACGACTCTTTGTCTTCCTTAATCTTAAAGACGGCGACCCATAAAAAATATATAACATGTTTATTTACAAAACTATGTAAAGCTTACTGTGTTATATAGAATTACGAATAATCTGCTTTTGTCACAAACAAAAAATCTGGTTAAACTGTCACCAATTCACCACAATTTTTTTCTAGTTATCGGTTCAATGAGCACTCTACACTACATTATCATAACGCGAATTTTGAAGAAAATCACCGAAATCTTGTTTCCCATTAAAATTTATGATGAAAAGAACGATTTTTTGAATAAAATTAATGCGAAAGTTTAGTGTCATTGCTGTAGATTTACAGCCTAACTACATCGAATGGACAAACCAAATTGAAAATTAAAACATTTTAATATACTTTAAATCTTCTTATTCATTCAATGGTAAATATACCTATGCCAAAAATAATTTATTTCGAAACATATATGACCTAGTTTGTTTCAAAATAGAATCTGATTGTGGATATACTTAAAAACGAACACTCTTACTCGAATTTATTTCCCATCTGACCTGTGTTGACTTAAAATTATTATAATCGATCATGGAACTAACTTTAACTCAGATGGAAACTAAATGTGTAACATAGAACTTGGACGAAATTTCAGCATACACTGTCTCTTCTATTATCAGTCCCATTCCATCTACTAAAGTAAATAATAAATAAATTAATATATGTAGTAATAATATAACACAATTATTTTTTCATTGTCTTATTAATCCTCACCATATCTTATATACCTTAACTTTCTTCTCATTTAATAGTTCCTGTGACAGTAAGTAAAACGTATATCGTTCAGAACGATATTTGCTTTTATTTTGATTAAAAGGTATTTACCTTGTTTGAAGCATAAGAAACATCGTAAATTATATCTATTTTACATACTTTTTTATGAACTCGATAATTTAGAGATATAATTCATTGCAACGTGTATTTCAGATCAACCAACCCAAAACAAAGACTATCCAAAATACTGCTGAATTCTTTGGAAACTCAAGACTGAACCGAACTCTAAACCAACAGTGACAAATTAATATTAGTTTCCAAATATATTTTAGTTCAATACTGTAGCAAATATAACTCTACCCCTACATTTTCATCACGACATTTTTGGTTTGATTATTTCATGTAGTCAAATAATTATATTTTTAGAGGTCATTAATAATCAGGTGTCTCCTGTTTCAATCGAACAGCAGGATTGACATATTAGTTAGTTGTCAAATCTAATGTCAAAAAAACGTTTGTATGGGAAATAGAAAAGCTCTGTTTTTAACGTTTTCCCAGTAATGAATCAATTTTTTTCATCTTTTATACCTTCCCTGAACCTCCACGAACATTTCAAGACTAAGATGAGATAAATCCGTTCAGCTGTTCTCGAGTTTTAGCGAGACTAAGGAACAGCAATCCATTTTTATATATATAGAAGAAGAAGATAATAAATTGATCATAATTAACAACACTATTTTTGTCACTCTTTATACGAGTGAAAGAGACGTAATCAAAAATCAGTGTGGTTGTGCATTATCAAAAGTTTTTAGTTTCTCCAATTACTAACGCAATATGAAAAACTGTTCCACAAAATCGATATAGCTTTCGTAAGTACTCCCAAACCATCATCATTATTATGTGGTCGATAGACATGCAATCTGAAGAGGATAAATGTGTCAATTTACTTGTTTACGTCACTTACATAGAATATTTTGTTTAACTTTAAATGTTACAGTTATCTTAATCCTTGAATGAATAGTTTTAAAAACAGTAAGTTGTACTACTTATGACAACATGTAGTCATTGCAATTATTTATGCATATGATTTTAATAGCACTTAAAATGACTGTTGCGATTATGTTTAGATTAATGTCAATGTTGTCTCAACTTTTTGTTTGAAAGAGACAGAGAGAGCTTACTGATTCAGACTACCTTATATTAAAACAAGCTTGAAAAGAATCTCAAACAGATTCCATAAATTAAAAATAGCGCCTCTTTTTATTATTAAAATTTTTTGCTATATTCTACTTACTTTGAGAAAAAGTATATTTACTAGAAATTCCCGACGCTGTTTATATAATCATATAATCAATCATAATATTACAACAAAATTTTATAACGCAATTAACTAAGTAATACTAAATTGAAACAAGTCATCTGGTTTAAATCGAAATCATTAATTTTGCAGTTTGGTCAAATCCTTTTTAAATATTTTTGTAAAGGAAAATGAGACTCATTTTGTAATTTTCATGTCCTTAATCTGAAATAGCTTGTAAATCAAGTTTAATTTATTTAAAACAGTACCACAGCTATAGATAATGGCAAAGTAAATACAGAGCATTTTAAGAGTTTAACCATAAACCTAGGTTATACGTGAAAACTTATTATGATTGATAACAGAAAATGCACCATATTCAGTTTGAAATTCCAAGTTTGTATTAAGAGTACTCGAATGCTTATAGTAGAAAAGCTAAATGGCAAAATAATCTTACGAATGCTGTAAGAAAAGGGTACATTCATTATTGCCACAAAGAACTGAAGCTGTCTGAAATATTCTGGCAATACCTATAACCAGCGAGTGCCTCCCAACAAAATGAATTAAAATAATGTTAGAACTTATATATACAATTTTTATAGTAGTCCTTTTATAGCATATTTTTTTTACGAATAATAATGTAACATTTAAAATTCTTTCATTAAATGTCGTGTTAGCGTAGATAATATAAAATAACGGCACACTGAACTTACCTATGGAAATAAATATTATATATTTCCTATTAAAATATACGATTTTCCTTATCACATAACCAATAACAACTAAAGTTTGCTTTTACATGTTTCTTTTTATTGCAATCGACCGGAAAAGTGTTATATTTGCTGAGCATTAATTTTTTAAATGTGGAGATTATAATATGTTACATTTTTCACATGCGCTATTTATTTGCTACTTACAAAAAGTATTTGAAAATGAGAACGTTGTAAAACCAAATGGAAATTAAGGTTGTGCAATTTTTAGTTTCCTTACTCGTTGTAACCTATCATGATCTGAAAACACCAAGATCTGTAAATGCTAAGGAATCAGATGAGACAGCTTTACATGAAGCACTGCTATTGGTTGAACTTTTAAAGTCAGGTATTGTTTAGCATCTTGTAATAACTATACTTGTTACTTACATATTTAAATTGTTAATCGTTCGTTATATACAAAAAAGAATATTCTAAAATACTACGAGAAAGAAACCAACCTCTTAGAAATGAAATAGATGTCGATGGAAAGGATCTTGAAACTTGTGCAACGACATTAATGATAAATTCCGCCACCGAGGCAGTGTCTCCACTGACAGAAAATGAAGGACGTAAAGTAACTTTTATTTAATACTTGACATATTGTTTATAAATAAAACGAGAAACAATTTGTAGGTATGTAGCCTATTTCAATATTTGTTTTTTGGTAAGTGTGTATCGTTAAGGTTTGGTTAGTGTTTTCTTTATTGATTACAATCCTTAAAAATAAAAATGCAAATATTTTATTGCTTTCCATAAAGTTTTGATGTTGGATCGTAGGCATCAATCATTAATTCCTAGTTGATTTCAAAATAGAATTTAAGATGAATAAAAGAAAAATCGCAGAGTAAAATCTTAACTAAGTTACAATCACAATGTCAAAATATATTAATTTAAAAAACAAACCATCATTAATGTCTATAATTAATGGAAGACGGGTATTGCCATGATCATTTTATAACTTAAAATGAGGTCGTTTCATTGCTGATTCAAGTAACAAATTGTAATAATAAACTAAGATTTCGAAACCTAACGACTCGAGCTATAAATACACTAATATATCTCAGTAAAATTAAGATTCATATTTATTCATTATATTTTTTTAGGTAGAATTTTCCAGCCCGAAACCTTTCAGTGCCTACGGATTCTTGCAATCTCAACCTAATTGTGAGCATCGAGTGCATTTAAAAACATACATACATATGTATTTTATAATTTAGATAGGGTTCAGTGAATATTAATGAATTGTGATTTAATATTAATCATTGCTTACAAACATTATTTTCTTCACAGAAGAATATTTTAAAAATACCGTTTATGTTTACTTTTGTCTAGATTGATGCGATTTAATAAATTATATGAAAGAAAAATCTAATAGCTATACCTGTTAATATAAGTTCTTGTTTATTTTACTTTAATATATAAATACAGTTAAAACCCCCGGTAATATATTTTGAATTATTTCTACGCTTAATTTATTATACATTATTTCAATAGTACTTATTTTAAAATGCTTTAAATCAATTATAAAGATTCACATCAAAGTAAATCTATTAATCGAGGTCAGTATAGCTAGATATCCTCGTTGTGATGTTATATATTATACGACATTATATTAATTTTAGCCAAAGCAAGATGATTTTTATTTAATCACTGTTAATTATTTCAGACTTTCAAAGGAGAAGATTTAATGGCTATCGAGACTATTACGGTATTTTAACTAGTTTCATAATAGTTTTTACTAGGTTTTTAGTAGCTTTTTGAAATAATTTTAATGATTTTGCAGGAAATTATAACCCACCTCAAATGTGGCGCAGGATGGATTACGAAAACGTTTTTGGACCGCAACCAAACGCAACTACTTCTTCTTCACAAGCCACCGAAAAAACTACAGTATCAAACGCTGAGACTTCAACCGACTCAACAACACAATTACCAAGCTCCATAACCACCACTACCAAAGGACAGGATTCGCAGTCCACCTTAAAACCCCCTACCACGGCAAAACAAAATACCGTGTCATCCCCAAAACCCCTAAAGACTCCATCTTCAGCTACGGCGCTTACCACGCACAAAACCATTTTAGTGACATCCAAAACTAACAATAAGTCGAAAAATACAAAAGCACCCACGGTATACCAAAAAAAAGGTGACTCCTATTATCAAATGTGGTATTATATATTGTTATTGCAATGTTACAAGGTAAAATAATAATTATTACATCAAAAATTTTAGATACTAAAGGGACGGAACCAAAGAAACTGAACTTAAATTTAGAAGAGATAACAAGCCCGGTTCCGATAACCGATCCTGAACAAGCACAAGTAGTATCAGAACTTGAACAAGAACTTGAATCTGAGATAGTATATTCTTCTAGTACATTATCACCATCGTCTCGGTGGCATATGACATGGCGGCCCACCACCAGAATACATTTAGCCGGCAGCACTAGATATCCTATACCACTACCTGTAAATCACGCCTACTGTTATACCAACCCCGAAAGTCCTCTGTGTCGCACATTTATCAAATAAAATAGTAAAAAATATCATATATAGAAGTAGATAATTATTCACCTACATTAAACGTATTACAATCAACAGTTTGCGTCTTGTATGTGCCAATTTCATTCTAATTAAATAAACTGCAAAATTAAAACTTAAATCACTCAGTGAATTTATTTGCTAATACTGAAACCATGTTTTCCATATCATTAGGTATATCAGTTGTTATTGCGAGCTGGTGTTATATGTATTTTGGAATGTACATTGAAAATCTACCTACTATTAAAGTTGTTTGGCAAAGGGAGAATTTTTGTCTAATATACGTATAAAGAACGCGTTGAAGTAAATTTTCTGTCACATTAGGTCGAAACAGCATTTCGAAAAAGGGAAGATGCAAATAAATGTCGTGATATGTCTGACTAACTACAGGTCTAATAAAAACAATTTGTAAAACTTGTATAATAAGAATACATACCATGTGTATCAGAAAACCATTACCGCATTTTCTAACAGATGTCACTATGCAATATTATGTTTTGAAATATATTCATCGTTGACTACTGATGTCATGCTTCAAAGCCATACTTGTCACATTTTGTTTCGTTTATTAATTGAAAACTAGTTTTTGCCCGCGACTTCGTCCGCGTTAGTTTGGTCAAGAGTAATATATGTAGGTGTAGCTGACCAGTCGAACTCTATTCCGTCTTACAGGCCATAAATAAGGTTTTTCCTGTTTCAATCAAACAGAATTGACATATTTGTTAGTTGTCAAATCTAATGTCAAAAAAAAAGCGTTTGTATGGGAAATAGAAAAGGGCTGTTTTTATGGTTTTCCCAGTAATGAATAAATTTTTCTCACCTTTTAAACCTTCCCTGGACTTCCAGGATTATTTCAAGACTAAAATTAGCCAAATCGGTTCAGCCATTCTCGAGTTTTAGCGAGACTAAGGAACAGCAATCCATTTTTATATATATAGAAGAAGAAGATAATATCGTCTTAGATTTATATCTCTTTGAAAATGTCAAGATCCGTGCGTAATAACACGCATTATTTTCCTTATTAATCAAAAGAAAAAAGCCAATGAAAGTCATCGCTTTCGTGATAAACTTACAGTGAATATGATGAAGAACGTTCTATTATACAAATAAATTATTGTATTACGAAAATGGTTTGGGTGCTACTAACTGCTTAAACCTGGTGAAATTGTTTCTAGTGATCGCTCCGGACAGAAAAAGAACAACTTGAACCACGTAGAAATATATATATATATAAATATATAGAAACGCGTCCAGAAGCTCCGAAGACACGATAAAGTGCTTTTACAACACGATAAATCAAATCAAAAAGCAAAACCGATCAAGGAGGCGTTGAAGACACTTGGAGTCTAACAGATTTTCGTTATTTTGGATGGAATCCATAAATTGCAGGAAAAATGGCCAACATATATAGGTAAAATAAAAGAAATAGGTAGATAGTGCATAAAGTTATAATATTTAAATGTAAAAATGTAATAAAAATTAAGCGTTTCAACGAGTGCTATATTTTGAAAGTAGGAACCCTGTAGAAATATTTTGTATGCTCTTTACCAATTTCTTGTACTTTTGTTGTTGTTGTCTTGAATTATGTAGTCGCGAAAACATTGAATTGAAAAAAAATATTACTAGGTACGTTATAAACTCGAATGTCTGTGACTTATATTTATTGTTAAAAATATACTGTATCGCCTCGCGTTGCCTTCGGGATCGTTTTATATGTATAATTTAAACTGCTTTACAATTTATTATTTTATTTCTATTTTAAATAATTAACATTCTTTTATATTATATCCGATCCATACTATCTAATGCGATGTCCAGCCCTATTCACTCCAAACTCAATGTCATTCTCCTTAATTCTTTTTAATTCATTTTTATTTCAATTTAATTTCCTTCACCACGACAACGCCTCGTCGCACACCGCCAAGCGAACGGTCGACTATTTGGCGACATCAAACGTTGAATTACTGGGTCACCCGCCGTATAGCCCCGACCTCGCGCCTTGTTATTTTTATTTATTGCCAAAAATTAAAGAAAAACTTAAAGGAAAGCGGTTTGTGAATGCTGAAGAAGCGGTGGCTGCGTATCGCGATGCCATTGAAGGGACCCCTAAGGACGAGTGGGCAAAGTGCTTTTCCCAGTGGTTCCATCGCATGCAGCGTTGTATTGACGTGAATGGACAATATTTTGAAAAGATATAATAAAACTAATAACTGGCTAAATGTAATCAGTTTTTGATTTTCTAAGAACTTTCAGTTTGACCCTCGTAACGTACCAAGCGACTTATAGGACAATGTTACTGTTAAATTATATTATAAATACTAGAAGACCTGGCGAACTTCGTATCGCCCTATAATAAAGAAATTTCAATTACGTTTTTTTATTTATATTTTTGGGAGTTTACCTGTAAACCATAAATCTCCGTGTTTTGAAGTGCGACAGAATGATTGACATATTAGTTAGTTGTCAAATCTAATTTCAAAAAAAACGTTTGTATGGGAAATAGAAAAGGGCTGTTTTTATGGTTTTCCCAGTAATGAATCAATTTTTTTCAGCTTTTATACCTTCCCTGAACCTCCACGAACATATCAAGACTAAGATAAGATAAATCCGTTCAGCTGTTCTAGAGTTTTAGCGAGACTAAGGAACAGCAATCCATTTTTATATAGGTACTACTAGTTTTTGCCCGGGACTTCGTCCGCATTAATGTCGTCATTAGTAATATAGGTATAGCAGACCGGGCAAACTCTATTCCGTCTTCAATAACCCGGTATTGGTATTTATTAAATTTCTACTGTTTCAATCGAACAGAATGATTGACATATTAGTTAGTTGTCAAGTCTAATGTCAAAAAATCGTTTGTATTGGGAAATAGAAAAGGGCTGTTTTTAGGGTTTTCCCGGCAATTTTTCCCACCTTTTAAAAATTCCCTGGACTTCCAGGAGTATTTCAAGACTAAAATTAGCCAAATCGGTTCAGCCGTTCTCGAGTTTTAGCGAGACTAAGGAACAGCAATCCATTTTTATATACCTATATAGAAGATATAGATGAACTAAGTAAATTTAAAAAATTAGCTGGTTAGTAATCACTTGCGATGACCTCGTTATCCATACATGTTGAAAGGAGGGGGATTTATCGATTAAACCATACATTTTGTAGGACAATTTTTTTAGAATAATTTAGATAATTATCATAAAATTTAACATAAATAAATCCAGTTAGTAATAAATTTTGGAAAATTATCAAATCAACATATTTTATCTCTGCTAGCTAAGTTAGCTACCACTATCGAGAAATATCGCAAAGGAAAAAGTTGAGCGTCTCAATGAAACGAAGTTACAGAAAATTAGCTTGTTAGTAATCAAGTGCAAAAAACAGCCATGGATCCTGGTCTAATATATATAGGTATTTCTAATTAAATAAATTAGGGTGTTTGAGACACCAAAAGGCAGGTTTTCACCAAATTTCGTGATAAAATATTGTTTAACTTAAAAAAAACCATAATCTTGTTTTGGTCTTTTTATTTACCTATTACTTTTTCCATAGGACTTAGTTGTGCCGTAAAATCATAAAACCCATTTTTAACCCTTAAATAAGCACCCCGAACTTATATCGCCCGTAAATTATTTTTCCTTCAATTTTTATAATTTTCCCCTCTTTTTCTAATGGGTTTCATTCTACTATCTTTTTTTCACTTTTCTTAAATTTTTAAGGCGTCTACCCTGGCCTATAATAGACACACTACGGTAATTCATAGTTGTCCTAATTTCAGTATAAAAATGGTGGTAAGAACTTTTTTTATTCAAACCGAAGGTGAAAGTATGATAAAGGGGTACTGTGAGTGAAATAAAACAATTTTAATTTCAATTTTATTACGTTAAGAAACCTAAATTTGACATTTTCATTACTGTTTAAAATAGCATTCTTATACAATATTGAATTTTGTAATCTTTTAAATTCAGTTCCCAAAAACATGCACAAAGATAATTATCATATTCATTTAGTAATATTGAGGTAGTTATTAGTTTCTGAACTTATACCAATTATAAAATGGTTCTAAAATTAACAGCGTAATTGAAAGAAAATTTTGGTGGAATATGTGAATGTTCAGCATAAAGACAATGAATAAAAAATTAACCTTGTATAATGTAAATTGGACCTTAAATGTTCAGATGAGAAGCAACAACAACAGCTCCTCAATACATGACCCACGGGCACTGCGCTCTCTGCGCCGTATACAGTGTGCTCGACCGCGCTCTCAATTATGAAATAACCAAATAACTCAAATTAAATCATAGTACTCCTCTTTATGATTTAGAAACTATTCAAAAATACAATCAGTGCACAAATATGAAATCGATAAATTCAGTCGATCACACGCCAAATACACAAATTATTGATTACACACATGAGAAATGAATATTATAATGTAATCTATAACAGTAGAACCATCAAACAAGAATGATAAAGTACAAATTTAATCAGCGAGAATGACATGTAAGACGGCGAGGAACGGGCGACGCGGCGATGTAGTTCAGTCTCGGGCCGCGTGCCCATTAACCTGCCTCAACTTAACCCTACTTCACAACGATACAATAATCAACTAAAACTATTAATTTCTGCTTCCCAACACGTTACACGTCGCAATGATAACCACATCACGATACTCTCGCTTACAATTGGAAGGAATAAACGACATGCCTATATATTTTATGTACACTCCTCCAGTCGCAGTCGAGCAACCGTTCACACCGAATAAAAACTGAAAGGAACGGTAGACGCGCTCATGCTTTGCTTTCGCATAGCGATTTTTGAAATACAATGGGAATCATAGTTGTTAATCAGTTAAAATGTCTACAATTTAATGAAGAACTGACCGGAGGTTAGCTTTTAACATTACAACAGATCTGTTGTGCAGGAGACTTGTAAGCAGTGAATTTGTAAATCTCGCTTTATTAGCCGCACAGTTACAGTAGTTTAAAAATACTGTAACCAAGCAGCTAATAAGATGGGACGCTATATCACGTGTAACTTGGTTATTTCAACCAGACATATAGAAACTAACATGATATAGCATCTGTGTACAAGCATACTTAAAAGCTAAAAGGTTATTTATATAAAAAACCGTCAAGGTAATCAGATAACCGTATTCTCACAATTTAGTGCCATTATAATTTTATTAGTTATGCCCCACGCATTGAGTTTCAAATCCTAAACAATAATTTATCACTTGTGTTTTCTTTAAATAGTTCTATTCAACATCATCGCGACACTGACACGTTTAATTTAATTAACTCTAAACGTGGAATGTTAAAGTTAAATAATGCAATAATACATTTAATATCCAAATTCATTAAGTTTCTCTAATAATGAAGTTAGCGTGATAAGCGGGGGCGCTCTTATGAACAGCGTTCTGTAAGTACTTTTCAAATAAGAGTTAATTTTAACCACTTAAGTTGTAGTATGACTTGTGTAAACTTAAAACTGATCCATTTATGGTAGAACTTTATATTTTACAGTTATAGCTCGTCGTTTACGATTGTCATGGAATGGCAAACGTTATATTTCAGTATTCGGCTACTGGCGGTTCTTTCCAATAGATAGATTATGATACATTCACAACTTTATTGTATCTTATTGTATACATTTATACATGCGAACACGTACATTCATGCGTTTACTTAAAAGTACAGTAATCAGACAATATAACATACGGGGAAATAAATAATCGCACTTTGAAAAAGATAATCGGACATTGTCTTAAACACTTTGAAATTGATAGTTGGCACTCGCTCTAACTAATTCTCATTTCTCAGGATCAACATTTAAATTATTCATTCTTAGCCTATACACATAGATTATGGCTTTAATTACTTATCATAGATAAGGTAAGTATAGAACACCGAACAGTGGTACTAAAAACAAACTGCTTTTCTCTATCTTATCCTTAAATGTTTACACAATAAAGTATACACGTATAAAGTTGGTTGTTAGTAAGTACATCGGTAATTTTAGAGCAAACTATCCATCATATATAACATCACGAAAAGTTTAAAGCTTCAGTATTTTGCGATTTAAGTTGTTTTTGTAAGATTATCGATACAAGAATCTTTTATTTAAACATCTATTTTAAAGTGCTTTTAAATATTACCCAATACATTTATTACATTTATGGACAACATGTGCTTAGAAACAGCACTTCTTTCTAGCATCTGCTGTCTTTTACTCCATTCAATCTTTCTCAGTTGTTTCAGATGTTACAAAGCATACATTGGTATTAACATATAGTTCCGGTTACGGTACATTCGGTGAATTGAATGCCAAGAGCGAGATAATTTTCAATAATATGTGGAAGTATCCAGACAGTGTCGGCAAGCAAATATTTCGCGCTCTGATGTAGGCGAAGGAGCAGCGTCGGGCCAATGGCTATATAATTATCTTATGCACCCGGGAGCGGACATACTATATTTTACACTAGTCTCTTGTCGAAATTAGGGTTATAAGAATGTAAAACATTCCATTTTTGCCAAAACTTCCATATATTATTATCACAATCATAAATATAAATATCTAAGCTTTCATTAATTTTGATATTTTCTTCACTTATTCTTAATAGATCATATTTAAATATCTCACTTGGCACAATTATAACGCAAATCGTACACGCATAAAACTGTATCGGGGCGTGAAACTGAGCGACTCCGCCGTTTCGCAGTGCGCCAGCTCTGCCAGCGCAGCTCGCTACCGTGGAGACCGCTCACGGCCGCAACGATACAGGAAAACCGTAATAAAGCTAACAAAGACAAATTACAAAGAAAACGATCAACAAATGTCACTTACAAATTAAAACTCGTACCATTAAAGACCTTACTGACCAACGATGACTTATCTATCAAAAATATTTATATCATTCGCTGGTGAATAGCAATTGAGCGCCGCGGCGTAGTGCGTCGGCCGCGGGCGGCCCGGCGACGTCGACTAGTCTGTCAGTCTGTCGAATGGTCGGTCAGTCTCGTGTTTAGTGTTCAGTCATCTGGGGGCCGGCAGCCCGCGGACGACGTCAGCCGAGCGCTAATCGGCTTACACACATCTATCCGTCTTGTTTTTAGTATATGTATATCCTTACATCGAACTTGCAAAGCTTTCCATTTATTTTTGTTGAGCCTCATCAATAAAGCGATGTCGTATTTTTTCCATTCTTAGCGGTGTTCGCAACCCACACACCCTACTGAATAATATTAACAGCGTATTGTTGTGTATTAACAGATTAATCTATTACTTCATAACAAAACAAAATATGTATTATCTCGTTTGTATAATAATGGTGCTGTAATCTAACCTATTGCTACTAACATGTGTATATGAGAACATAATCGTTAACTATTGCCTTAGGTGAACTCTTTACAATGCTTCATAAATATAACATGGTATGAAAATTGAAAACAATAACAATTAAATATATTCCGGCTAATTCATATAACTGTCACTATCGTTAAAAAAAAATAGTGTATATGAATAATATATAAAATACATAATATATATATATGTATATATATCCAATTATTCATCAACATTAATCCTGGGATAAAATTCGTCAATAGTATTTAATTATTATAATTCACTACGTTACTATAATACTTCAACAACAACATAGACACGCTGCCAACAAATCGAAGCGGTCGAAGTTGCGCAGCAGGTTTTGGGGTCTGTGCCGGTCGCGGTGACAATGTACCGAACCGTAATTAACTGTACCGTTCGTGCAACAGGGGGGCGAGGGGGGGCGTAGCGGGGGCGAGGCGGGGTAGGGTCGGCGGGGTGACAGGTGACAGTCGGCGAGGTGACACGATGCGGTGGCGGCAGAGTTGTGGCGGCGGGTGGTGGTGACGAGGTGACAGCCTACTGCTGCGCGGGCGGCGGCGGCGGCGGGGCGGCGCGTCGGTGGCGACCCGGAGCCGACGCCTGCGCTACCATCGAGCGGATGCGTCGCTGCGCAGACTGCAACGAGATCAACCCCACACGTCACATTCAGGTTTTACCAATACATTTCATCCAGCAAAGCATCCGAAAAACTAATTGCAGCACACGCCAAAATATTTGAGCAGATACGCTTTTCACTCACGCTAGATTATTATATAAAACACACAACATAAAATAGTCACCAATCACGCTATCCCCTCTCCAAATTAAACATACCTTTCCCTCGATAAAACTGTCACTTAATACATACTTTGAATATCAGTGTACATGTAGTTACAAGATGACAACGTCCGGAATCAATCGAAAAATATGGATCACCTTAAAAGTTATAATTTTATGAACTATATATTATATTAAAAAATATATACATTACAGCCGTTGTACATTCGCCAGATGATGGTATAAGTAGAGGGAAAAAACTCACCTATCAAAGAGTTAAGATAATATGAGCCGCTATGGTGAGCGTCTAGTGGGCATATTTTCTCTGTGCACACAGAGGCTGCGAGAGTTGTACGTTGTTCGCCATAATGCACTCATCCCGCTTCGGGCGATCGCTACAACATTTAAACATTTATTATGCCGCAGTGAGTCGCCAATAACTTCATCAACCATCGCATTGCGCCAGCAGCTATTTATTTAAAAACGAAGTACTTATCTTAAACAGCAGATTCTCCGACACCCGCAACCACGATACACTGAACTTGTAACTACATGTACACAACTATTCCATGTTAATTACTAATAGGAGTTAATAACGAAAACCATATACATATATCCATCCCTTATTCTTCTCTCTCACACACACACTTGGTACACAACTATCACTGAATTTTTTCCACAAATACCAAAAACATCGCTTTGCAATAAATACAAATTTAAACAGATTACAAAAAAATGTTTTACAGAAAACACAACATTAAGAATATCAGTTTATCGTGCTTTTATTGAACTTAAACAATAATAATTAATCTACTAATAAACGAAAAATACTTGTTATTTTGAGGAACCTATATAGAAATAGCATTAAAATTTTACGTAATTTATGACGAAACGCAATACTTTTTAAAGAGTGACAAATTATATAGAAGGACAAAAGCTTTCATGCGACATCAAATCAATATTTAACAATATAGGCCGCCATTCATTGTCAGATCGCGGTCAAATACTTATATCAAGATAAAACCTTTCAATTGGAAGGAGTATTAATATCCATCTGTATTACTCTGTTAGAAACGCAACGAGTTAGTTTTTCAAAGACGATAAAAACATAGCATAAATATTGAATTTAGTCACTGTATCGTATCGTATATCATGTCTAATTATTTATTATATTTTGTTTATATTACTAGAATATAGACAACGATATTTAGATCTTTATTAATAATATAAAATCTAGGTACAGTTCATGTTAATTGCCAGTTATCTCCTGAGGTATGTATTCGACAGACTGGGGGAAGTAAACATAATTATGTATCAATAGAATTAGAGCACAACGTTAGTTACGGAACATGATATAATTTTATAGGAGCTAATGTATCCTAAAACACGCGATAAAATAATACTTTATGTGTATATCACATGTGAAAAAAAAATCGATAGTTATGATTTTAATATGATCTATCATATTGAAATGATAATTAACATCGAAAATTTGTCAATTTCTTAAGAGGAAACAATATTTCAAGAGACTTCTAGTAAATAAGTAAATGTATGATTAGTATTATTGTAATAATAATAATATACTAGAAGTAGGCATTGTCGACATAAACAGTTTTGAATGCTTTTAAATGTGTATTTTTTTTTCACCAAATCAATCGAACAATATATAGGAACCAAAATAATTGACGTTAATCAAGACAGGTAATTAACTTGCGTAAATGAGGATGTATGTCCCTAAATATCTCGTATATAAAGTGAGTCAATCAGTCACACCCTCCCACGTCTGTACGTGCATACTCCGCAGGAGTTGATTAGGATTAACGTGAGGCCTATAGAAATAATATATTGTTATTTAAATGATAATACTTTGTTAAAATACGAACGAACAAAATGTATTTTGTAGGTGTCGAAGACCAAAAGACTATCGCTTGTCCTTCTTCCTAATAATAAGCAATGGCAATAACAAAAAAGTACCATTTTTAAAAATTAGTAATTTTACACAATAAAATAAACGAACATCGTGGACCTAATATGCAATATTAAATACCGGTGACATTAAAACTACCAATATTTATTCAATAAAAAAATAAACTGTACGAAATACTTTTAAATCCTGATATTACTTATTAGTTGCCCGGCCATGATTATATTGATGTTTTATTCATTACTCGGTGAGACGAAATCACTCGCGAGCATTTTTATGCCAATGATTTCGACAATTAATAACTTATACTGTACGAACAATAACTTTCGGGGTAATCAATATTATGATACATCAAACGATACTACATATGAGCTGCATGCTTTTCAAAGATTTGACACGTCTTATTAGTTAGGATTATATGTATGTCAACAAACCTGGACACTGTAGAAGTGGCCGACGATGTGTACGGTAGTCTCGTGGTCGTTGCCAGCGGCGCTCGGCGGCTGCGGCTGTTCGGGCAGCTTGATGAGCGATCCAGTGACGCGCTGCAGCTCACGGACATTCTGCCCTCCCTTGCCAATGATGCGGCCGACCTGCGACGACGCAACCACTATCGCCACAGTCAGCCGGACATCGTCAGAGCCAGACATGAATCCCTCCTCACGCATCTTCTCGAAGATCAAATACTGCGCCTGTAATTCATCGCATTGGTATGTGAATATAGGTCTTTTTGCAAACTTTTCAATAAAAATCTTGATACATATTTCATGTCATTATATGTAATGTAGTAGACAATGAGTTTCAGTATCTAATAAATTTATTTTCTTCATGTATATTAATTAATAAATTATTATTTTTGTAATCATCATACCTTCCACTGTGCCTCAGGACTTCCTACGATAGTCACTTTCCTCTCCTGTTGCGCAGCCACGCTGCCTGGGGCTGCAACTGCACCAGCTCCTGGCACACCTTCAATAACCTTATCTTGCTCGAGAGGGGCAATCTTTACAGAAGCATTGCTGAATCTAATTATGTTGCGTATATGTGATCCCTTTGTGCCAATTATTGCACCCACAGCATTATTCGGTATATAAAGATAGGTCGTTTCCTGCGAGTCGCCAGCACCTTGTTGCGCGCCGCCTTGGCCGGCCAGCGGCGCATATATAGGCGGTGGGAAAGGAGGCGGCGCACCACAAAATCCGCGCCCCGTAGACATCATTGCCATTGGGTGTAACCCAGGGAACATTATGCTCTGCGGCGCCAGCACCTAAAATTTGAATTATGAAATGGGGCTTATTGTCCTGAAGTTTATGAGCTATTTCTTTAGAAAAAAAAATTAATATCAATCTTTCATTAAGTAACAATTAAAAATTACCTGCAGATCGTTTTCGTAACTTTGGCGCAGTTTGGCCGAAATTTGTGACTCCGCTTTAGCCATGTTCTCAATGGTACCCTTCACAGTTATGATTCGCTCCAAATTAAAACTGTTTATATCATTTATGGACGATACAGTAATCTTGGTATCAGTTTCCTGCATTATTCGCTTGATTGTGTTGCCACCCTTGCCGATTATGCGACCAATCAAGTTATTATGAGCCAATATTTTAAGGCATATTTCACTGTGATAGAAAAAAGATTCATTAGTGTACGTAAACAAACACTGATAACAGAATTTCATAGCCATTATGATAACCTACCCTTTATTAGTGTTGTTAGCTTCCTGTTGCATAACTTCAAGTATCCTTTTGCAGGCATTCGTGCAATTATCTGGATTGCCGTATATGGTGATGGCTTTCTCTAGGGAGCCGACATTATCTTTACGGTGGACGTCAACGCGGGCGCGGCTCTGCTGAGTGATGAGGCGGATGGTGCTTCCCTGACGGCCGATGATGGCTCCAACCATGTCGCTCTGAACGAGGAGGCGAAGAGGAAAATCAGTTGGACGCGAGCCGCCCCCGAGGGCGCCGCCACCGCCGCGACCGCCGCCTGGTCGACCGCGCCGTCCACCCCTCGCCATACCATCCGCCGCCTCTACCTTTATACGAGCGCCCTCGACTTCGCATCCGTTCAGACCGTTGATGGCTCTGTTAACATAATAGTGTGAAATATTAATAAAGCAGCGGACGGAAAAATATGATAAAAGTGCCATACTTTCTTTTTAAATGTATCATTTAAAGCGATTTAGTAAAATGACAAATATAATATGTAAAGAACACATGAAGTGTTGAGACTTTACGACAAATATAAATAAAAAAAGCAAATCTTAAAATCTGCACAATATCAAATCCTGATAAAATTGGATAATACATAAAATTCCATGAAAAGAAATCAAAACATGCAGTAAGAAAGTGATAGGAAGAAGAAAAATCTGCATTCAAGAAAGAGCGAAGAGTCACCAACATCCCAACCAATTAACGATATACTCACTGCTGCGCCTGCTCCGGGGTCTCGAATGTAATGTACACCGCTTGGGTGTTGGCATCGCGTGAGTTGATTTTGTCGCATTGTTGCACGTTGCCATACTGTAATAGTAGTGGCTCGATGGTGTCGAAGCGAGCGTGCATTGATAGCCCACTGATGAGAATCCTTGACCGGCTGTGAGATCGACATAACCGAATTCACTCATTATTGTAATAAAAAAATCTTTTATACCAAGAACTATATAATACATAATATCATTTTTAAAAATTATAAATCTTGTTACGATATTAGATTAAAACAACAATGTAAACAAAAACGGTATTTCACTATTTTCTATGACAGTAGTAATAAAAGCGGTTAGCGACCCTCAATACAAAATGGCGGAGCGGAGATGACATCATCCGGCGCACACTAATCCGACCCCTCCCGCTCCTTATGCACTCTACACCATTCACAAATAAATAGAACTAGTTCTATTGCATTCTCTCATCCATCTCATGACCCCTTATAGTACATTTACCTAGTAAAACCACTACGTTCATTGGCAAATATCGGCATGTTTATAAACACTATGTAGGTAATTCATAATTAACATTGTCATATTCGATATAGGTATCCTTTCGTATTTCAATTAACTTTTGTAAAAATAATAAAATTAAAGAATTGTATGTTTATGGTAGGTTTGTTTCTATGAAAAGTAACAATTAGGTTCTATATTTGTAGTATTATTTTTAATAACGAATCGTATTCTTGGCATTTTCCCCTCGCATGTTGTTATAACTAAGTGACATTGCAATATTTTTAATAATTGACCTTATTTTTTATACATGTTTATTAATAACTCAATAAAGAAATTGCTATATTTACATTTAAATTTTTTACAAAGAAAAAGTATCTTCTCATGATAAAATAAAAGGAATTGCTATTTACATTTAATTGTTTTACAAATATCATATCGGGATATTTAACACTAAAATAACTGCTCTACACTTTCAGAAATTATTAACAAACAAAATCGACTACGTTTTGAGGAAGCTATTTTTGAACAGCGTAAATTCAATGGCACCATCTTATAAATGAAAGTAAATATTTTTCAAATATATACTTATGTAGGTATGTAATTTAATAAAGTTCTTTATCAGGATCCGATTGTTATATTATGAACTAAGAAAAATTATATGATGTAGCCATGATTTACTAGTTACTGTGCTCCTAGTAATTAAAGTAATTTTACATTTAAAAATTAGGTAAATAAATAATTTTAAATATTCCCGTAACCGTACATTAAATTATTTATTTCTTATTAAAAAGTTTAAAAAATAACAGCATTTACTACAATGATTTTCTTTTAATACGTAAATTTTTCTTTGGTGATTTATCTAAAATACATTTTATTTAAAATACATAGAAAAACATTTTGTTTCATGGAAACAACGGCATGTCAGTAAAGATACTCGTACTTAAATAATATGTACTATATGCTTATATATTTGAGTAGGTTTGAAAGTGAATGGGACGGTTTGATTAAGTAGATCAAGAGCATTATTATTCAATTGTTGCTCTTTGCTCAGATAACGGAGTTCTGTTTTATCAGCAAGCCGCTTGGCGTTTTGCAGAATGACTCATGCGAATCCGGTCGCGCCGCCGCCGGCGCCGCCATTTTACTTTACGCACCACGTGCTCAAGAGCAATTCATTTGTTAAACAATTGTAATATTAACAATTTGTAACTGGACAGGAAGAATGATTTATAGTAAGTGGTTCTACTTTTTGATATTGAACCTTAGACATTTAGACTACCGCTACTTCCAATCCCCGCTAGGACAAACATAGGCGCCTCGCGTAAGCATACCTGCGGTATTTCGCCGTAGTGTCCATATGTAGACTGCGTTACTGACGCGGTTGACAAGATTCGGTTGCACGAACGTTGCAATACAAGTGTTATTTTAAATAAAGACGAACTAAGTTCATAAATAATTATAGGTAACAATGAGAAACAAATATTATAAGGCACTAACGGTATGTAAATAAAAAATATATAAAGCCCCACTCAGGGATTCAGTACGAAATCGCGCTGTATCGCCAGCGCGAGCGTCGCCGATTGACTGAGCGCGCGCGGTGCGATGCGGCGGACGTACGAGGTGCGGGCGCGGGCCTCGGTCACAACGGACGTGCAATGCAAAACGACCACCGCTGTAGGCACCCGCCACCCCGCACACCTCACCCTACATCTACCTGTGATCAAAACTAACAATCCATTCACCCCACCGTCCACCAAGTCGTCATTTCTCTACTCTTGCTTTGTAAAATATGAGTAAGTTAAGTCCTTTAAAAATTTCGTAACTTTCATGTGCACCATAAAAACTATTAACTCGATATTCTAAAGTGCAATTACTAAGCCATTCTATTATTAGTCGGACCAAATATAACGACCATATCACCACAATACGCAACTCAATAACAGATGTATTGTTATACCACAATACAGTTATAAATTTTGATTATACGTATATTTTAATCTAAGACTATCAATAAAACAAACTACACAACTATTATAATAAACGATTAATGTTACACACAAATTTCAATAAATATTTCGTTGAGTTAAATTCACACTTTCAGTAAATAAATTTGAATTCCTAAAGCATTTTTACCGATATTATTTATGATGCGATATGGTTATAATTCCTCTTCCATAGCACATCTTTTTTTCGTAAATTAAAAACTGATTAACTTAAAGTCGTAATGAGTATAAAGGATCGCTAAAGAAAACAAAGAGCTTGCGGGACCACCTGCCAGCGTTGGTAACCTCATAACAGCATACACGTCGAGTACAGGTGTGCTGCTTTACAACTAGTAATCTATATAGTTTAAAAATGCAGCTTTTGCAAAAATTGTGCGTACTGAGGGGTAAAAACTAAATAAGATAGTTCAGAAAATGAGATATTAATGTGAAACATGCTTCCAAAAACAGTTTCTACACTGCATATAAAGCAATGTTTTGGTATCGCAATGTTATTTTAATTCCTATAAGTAATAATATTTCATGTCGTTTCTTCCTCGAAATTGAAAGTGTTTTTTGCAATATCTTCCCTCCCAATTAATATTTAATTGATTGAAAATGCAACAGGTAAGAGAAAATACTTCACAAAAAGTAGCACAGGTCAAGACAAGAAATTAAAATCTTAATAATTGTGTTTCCTCTGTTGCACTGTTGAAAATCAGTGTTAAAAGTATTAAAATAATAATAATAACTTGAGACAAACAGTTAAGGGAGATCGTATTTTTCGGTGGAGATTGTGATATTTAAGAAAATTCATTAGTTATGCTTCTGATTGTTATAAAAACCCAAGTGCAATCTGGCAGATTGCGAGCGCACGTGCGCTGCCACCACCACCTGCCGGTAGGCAGGTGTATTTAAGCTTCTGTCGCTTCACGCATATGCATTAAATGATATAAATATAAATTCCACGTATGCCTTCTCCTCCCTTTCTCATATGAAATATTTATTTTAGTATCACCATAAATCAAATTCCTTTTTATTATAAATACAAGACAATTGAATTCAATTTCCACGAGACTAGTAGAACATCAGAATTCTTTCAAGCGTCAACGGCGGACTTGGATATTGGCACCTAGGGTCAAATCCTCTCCTACAAAACACGTCAAAACTATGATAGTGGTTATAACACCGGACCACGTGTTTTAACACTTTCAAATCTTCATTTTTATTAATGGGAGTTTTTTGGATACTACGCCTCTTTTATAATAAAAAAAGATTAAAATTTGCGATGAATATTTTTCCATTAATTATGAAACTTTGTTTCAAAAATTCCTGATCATAAAATATATTTCCCTGTATTTATTTACCCATATTATAATAATTACTACTTGTATTCATACTATTATTGTTTAGGAACATTCCATTTGAGCTAGCTGTTTGAATATTATCAATGTTAGTAGGCCTGGACTGAGTTATGAACTACATATTTAAAAACTTTTTATGTAGACAACACGTTCCTTTTTTTTTGTTTCCGACCCAAAATCGTTTTTCCTTAAAACGAACTTTAATCATTTTTCAGTTTCAGCCTTAGTGATTTTTATTTTTTATTTTTATTTTATTAATTTTTTATTTTATTTATTTTTTATTTTAATTTTAATTTTATTGCCTTGGCTATCTTTTGCCCATAAATGCAAATGGGTAAATTTTTATTTTAACTATATTTAATTTTAACATGTTTCCGTAACGAATTACTAGTTATTAAACTTCTTTTTAATTTATTAAGACCAAAGCAAACTCTTCATATTCATTGAATATTTAAATGTTTGTGGCAGCCAATTTTTGGCTGCAACCCAAGTTTTGGTCAGTCACTAATTAGTCATTACAGTAAAATAATCGATAATTTACAATTTTTACAACCAAAAAGTAATAATTATCAAAGAATTCTTTCACTAAACGATAAAAAATACTAGTGTAAATACATAACCATAAATGGAAGTAGGATCATGCCCATAGAATATACTAAGAAAGTTATTTATATTTATTATAAGGGACTATATGCAAATAAGTAGTCAAAGGGAATGGATAGAATAATGCACCTTATAATTACCATAGCGATAACGACAGCGTTATTTACTACTTTGTTCAAATCTACGAGTACGTGTGTCATTATTGTTAGGTTTGGTTATGTTTTCGCCTTTCTGAAGCTACGTACTTTAAGGAATTAGGTACAAAATGACGATAGTAAAAACCTATTAACACAAAATTAATGTACCTAATGATTGAGGCCCACGCAGATTACTTACACAGGTTTTAATTAATAATAAGACCGTGTGATGTTTGTAGAATTCCTTAACTAACTTATGTATTTCATTTCTTTATACGAAAGTGTCGAAGAACAAGTGACAAATATTTAAAAAAGGCGGGAAATATTCCTGTAAGTGCAGTATGTTAATATCAATATTGTAATATTACATTTTGATACACTTGTTTTTCTATTGAGGGTAAGAAATAAAATAAATTGTATTGTAAGCAGTTAATATTAAGTATAGCGAAAAATATTGTATATACCTACATGCATAATAGAAAATGGATTTTAGATAATGTAACGTTTACAGTTTTATTAACTAAATCTTGCACTTGTGATGGAGGGAAAATGCGATCATACCCTACCTAAAATTTTAAATTACGAAGAGGAATATATAAATTACAATATACACTTATGAGATAAAATAATATTAATTAAAATTTACAAGATCCCATACAACTCTTAACTACTTTGAAATTGTTAATATGATCTTGTGTATATAAACACATGCAATTAATATAATTTATAAAATTACTCAAATAACCATATTAACACTAGACCAGCGAGGGAAAGAGAGAGAGAGAGAGAATACATTCTGACGGTGGCCTAAAACATTATTTAAGTTAGAATTATTATTAAAATTTTAGCTCAACGTTTTAATAATAACTGGGAATATTTGAAACCCTTTCATCGGTTTTGTGACTACATGTTTAAAATTCCTTAAGAAAATAACGCAAAGGATGCCTTGGTTACATTATATGCAGAGAAAAAGAAATGGATTACCGATATTATTGTATAATAATGCATCAAGTGTGAGCACATTCGGCACTGGTAACAATCGTCAATGGAACAGATTTATTTATGGTTTTATTCGAAAAATAAAATGTATAAACATGCGTTACGTAGCATAATGTGGCTTAGATTGATCTGAATTTCGTAAATCAAGATTCTTCTCTCTTATTAATCCTTCAAGAATTTACAAGCAAGCCCGTATATAAAAAAGGATACGAAAATCCAAAACTAAAGCTCCTGAATCGCAGTGGTTTCTGTTAGCCGATTTTGAGTTTCATTTTCGACTGATTTCAGAAAAGTAATAAAACTTAGATATTGATCGATATACAAGTAACTTTGTGACGAAATTAAACCAAACATCTATTTGGTAGGACATAACCGAGATAAATTTAATTATATACCAAAATAAAATCAATGTATAACCAAATAAATTCTTGAAAACCAACCTTTGGTCTTGATGATCTTCTTGTTCAAAAATTTGATCATGATCCTCCTGTGACAAGTTAAGGTCCCCAAATTGTTGTTCCAGGGAATTAGACATTATGCACTGTATTATGTTTATAACAATCCACTAAAACAATCACTGTAATATTTGTAAGAATTTAAGTATAACAATTAAGAAAAACACTTCCAAACCGAAGTTAACGTATAACCCGCAATTCGTGACACTGGCAACAAATAACTTTGAAACGGCAAAAGATTGATTGAAAGGTGGTAAATCTAAGCTTTGGCAGTAATGTTAATGTTTAATATGATGGCGGTAAGATGTGGACGGCGGTCAGCGAAGTACGGCAGCCTGTGCGCACACGTGCTCGCTGTTAAAGGCGCGGTGTTTATTTTCGTATTACATAATAGGTCGAAAGCGAGTGAGGCACTGGTCGGAACGGTGCTGGCAAGAGGTGCGGTGGTCGCGCGGAGAGCGGCGGTTAGGTCCGGGCGCAAGGGCACGTGTGCGCTGTGCGTACTGTTCGCAGGCTATCGAGATCGGTACTCGACTGACTGATGTGACGTGCGTGACTGAACCGCGCGAGCTACGAGCGACACCGACGCGACTCCGTTCTCCTTGCATCCATTTTGTATATTTTGTTGAGAATGCGCGCGCTGGGCGTGGCTGAATCGGGGCCCGCGGGGAGCGCGCCGTTGTAGTGAAGTGCTACTATCGATTCAACTTATCGAATGTTTGGATTTTTAATATTAAAATATTTTAAAACATCATTAAGAATAAATAAAACTTTTATTATTATTCGATGCACACACGAATGCAAGACATGACACCTAAATCATATAAGAAAAAATGCGAGAATAAAGCTGAACTGGCAATTTCGTAACAAAGAAACCCCGGTGTAGATAACAATTATTAAAACATGTTAAGATTTAAACTGAATATGAAACAATATTTTTTATCGATATTATAAAGTCGATCATGCTATTCACTAACGATAAAGTTCGTGAAGTATATTCGTTAGTGGGTCCGTGTGGCAGCGCCCCGCGCAGTCTTTTCCACGGCACCCGTCCGGGGCCCGCGGAGGGCGGTCGCCCGATACCGCCTACTTCGTCCGGTACAGGCGTCACCCGCTTCGTATCCCGCTACATCTTAGAACTACAACAACACGGGACAGCCGCTGCTCAAGGAGAAAACAACGCCCTTCCAACGGTCCTGTCCTGATCATACAAAAATCACCTCCAGTGATTTTTGTCTTATAAGAAAGCAAAGGAAAACCACAATTCAATCACTTTTAACCAAACAATACAAAACAAAACCTTTAAATTATATCTGTTAATAAAACGCGCAAGCTGTAATGGCGCACAGAGCGTACCATTCGAGCGCAGCGAACGAGAGCAGCGGAGTGAGTGTGGCCGCGAGCGCGCGCGCTTGCTCGGCCCGGAACTCTGCGCTGCGTCACAACGCCATTCATAAACGCACCGCGCGCGCCGCCCGCCGTCACTAACTCACAAGTCACTACAGAACTACTACTATAAAATCAAAACGACAACGTAATGTTCACATTCATTTGTCTAATGACCATATTTTATTATTCAAATTATTGCAACCATCTTTCATAATTCACTGGCAGTAGATAACGAGATTTATTACATATATTACATAAACTATTTTTTTTAAATCCTAAATGTGACTTAACGAAGTTAGTTAATTATCTATAGTATAAATTTAATATATGAATTTGCAAATTTTTAAAATTTTTTCGTAGTATTGTAAATAATTGACGATATGACATTTGTAGCGACAGCTTGTTTAAAACAAATGTTATTTTAAAAACGGTACTTAGAAGAACGAAGTTTCTGCCTTGGTTATTGTAAAAAAAAAACAGGTTTATGGACTAGAATGAGCAGGGAGAGCTGACCTTGCAATCCTTGAAATCTTATAAGCGTTAGATGACATCCGCTCCCAATGAGAACCCCTTGACAAGTATTATGAATTAATTGCCGATCTGGTTTTATGAAATAGTTTTTTTTATACCATTCTTTTACTAAGAAGGGTTAGAGAGTTATTGAAGTAGAGGCCAAGATTTTTCACAACGATAAAAGCCCGTACGGCTAACTCGTTTAAGGGATTAAAAATACTTATTAAATATAAATGAATCGTAACGACTGAATTTATATACTTGAGAGGTTTATACGCATGAATGAAGTCAGTTTAACGGTTTTGTCGTTAGTTCTGAAGTTTGTTTTCTAAATTATGACATATAAAGTATAGAGTACTAGGTCAGAGCATCTCCGCTGCGAAGCACGTGTCATGTGTCCTTATCACAGAGGCTGTTGAGGGGCGGAGTGCAGGCGGGTTGAATTTGTCATTGCAATACTACCAGGCGTCCAATGGGCGAGGCACCCCACCCGCTTGCAGCGCGCCGCCGCGACGCCGACATCCCGACCTACCCCGCCTTTCAAATCATCGCACAGAGAGATACACAAACAAATGATGATATCAACAGTCAAAACAATCGCACAAACAACCTACTCACAAACTATTTATATTATTATCGAAATAATTTATACGATACTAGAGTTTACTGTGCAACCAACCAATCAATCAAACATAATGACCCGTTTTCTTGTATTCTTGAATCTATTTTTTTTACTTTATAAAGTTTATTTATGTAGCTAAAACTTTTTTTTAGCTTTTCGTTTGAACCCGTATTTTAATGTTTACACGTACCTATTAATTACAACCAATTTAGTAATAGTACGGTGTACCTGTTACAAATTATAAACTTTTTTTAATTAGCACGAGTACAGGCAAGTAGGAAATTCACTAACCACACTAAGCTCCAAAATATAAAGTTTTAACATCACATCACATGTGTTTGTCTTTTGGTTGTCACAATTTTAAAAAGGAAATGGTGGTTACATCTATACACGACATCGAATCGAGTACGGAAACCAGAGAGCGTGACTAGCCCCTGCAGCTTCCGGATACGTTCAGAGCCCGCGCTCCGCAGTAGGCAGTTGGCATCGGGCATTCGTTACGAACGAGTCATCGGCTCGAGTGAGGGGCGAGGAGGAGGAGGAGGAGGAGGACGGGGGGGGGGGGCAGCAGAGATGTAGCTGGTGTCAATGAACGCTCGGAGGAAATGGATGTCTAGACCATAGATACTTACTTCAATTAATTTGAAGAGAACGTAGTATGTGTGTGCCTCGAGAGCACTGTAACGAAAAATAACATGTAACAGGTCACGGCCCAGTTTGCGGGGCCACGAATCAAAACAACACGTTCGTACCAATTCTGAGGTGGAAACAAAAAAATATATATATTCTTATTTTGCTCATATGGAACAACGTTATACTTACAATTTGTACTAGAAATTACCAAATCGTGTCATTTAATGTGACGGTGATAGTGTAATCAATTTTTTTTAACAGTTTTATCAAATAGCTGGCGACGTCTCGGCGGTTTGCGACTATGTTTCGACATCCGAGATCGTTCGCGATGACGACCAAACTTTTATTGTGTTAAGGAGAAGGAGGTGGGGGGGGGGGGGGGGCTGCTTCATTAACCAAGTAATTCATGTCCGAAAACAATCTACTTATATCACATTTCGTTTCTAGCACTCTGCTATTTTAAGAGTACACATTGTCGAACGTTATCGTAGGTCAATAAATTCGTATTACAAAGTCATAGTTATTCTCTGCCGTTTTGTCACTATTTGCATATACACATTATACGCATATAGTGAAAGATTGACAATGATCGCATTTCTGAAGAATATTATAAGGCCTAGATTTCATATCTTAGGTCCACAGAGAAAGGATAAAATTTGTTTATTCTTAAAATAATAAATAGGTAATAACTATTAATATATCTCATGAGCCACGTAAAATAAAAAATGTTAATCCTTGTTTCCGAAGAAAGTATACTAAATTTCGGCGAAAATTATACTCCAAACTATTAAAACACATTTCAGTAACTTTCCATCCAGCCATACGTCCATACAAACAAACTTCCTCGTTTATAATATTAATATAGGATATGTGCTTTCTGCTATCGGACTAATTTCGTTTCAAGCTTTCGTATGAATACGAAACTAAAGTTCAACCGTCTATGCTTTTAAACGTTTTGCTAATACGTGTAGCGTGATTCTGGTTAAACTTTTCGTTTTGTGTAGTTTCTACAAATATATTAATTTTAAAATGAAATAAATAATTGTTAAAGTTGGCTGTTACCGGGAAAAGGAATTTGTAAAATATTTACATACATATATATATATATATCAAATACCTCACGTCAGAATTATTTTTCCAGTGACCGTTACGTTAACCGTTGGCGTTATATTATACTATATTGATACTTTAACGTTTTTATAACGCTCATGGCGTTTTGTCTGAAGCGCATAAAAGTTAAACATGAAGATTGTGTTGCGATAGTTAGTATATTAGCCGAGATATCGAATATCGTCTTGAAAGAATAGACATGTTTTGGTTACAGGTATTACGTTTACCGATAAGTATTATGATGGTTTTGGTTTCGGTTAAATTCAGTCCATTATCGTTATATCACCCAACAAAAGTTCATGCATTCGACCCCCCCGCCCCGCCGCCCCCCAAGTGTTCCTGTGCTGTTCATTCTGCTGCCTTGAAACTTTGGCGAGATGTTTTGAATACGCCCGCTTCGGTTTCTGAATTAACTTTCACCATTTCACAATAGATGGGCCGAGGGTCTTTTCATAAAATGGATTTGTTGTATGTCGCATTGAATTGATGAACACTTGAATGGAGTCAAAACTCGGGGTTGTTCCTTTTTGAAACAGTATAAAGCACAACAGAAACAATCTAGATATGCCACGAACTCGATTGTATTTTTTAATTTTTAGCGTAATATTTAGCTACATATTACATGATATCTAAATATGACAATCAAAAACATTTTATAATTACTGGTTCCTTAACGACTTAACTTCGTTGGATTAAAGAAGAAAGACTCGAATGACTTGAATTGATACTATGAAATACTACGCACGGCTGTGCAACAGGTAATAGGTTACTAGTGTTGAGGACCCCAAGGAAATTAAGCGACCTATTTATAAGAAATCAATTATAAAATAACCACATATAAATTGTCCGCGTGCCCACCGGTTACTATAGGGTCGCGGTGGCAGCATTATGCACCAGTGATAATTGTAGTTTATAATGAAGGGTCGAAGGAACCGGTGAGATGTAATGCTCTCTCGGAGAAAGTACAAACCCATACAGACTAAAGCGTGCTACAATATGTGAGGGGCGAGACGCGTGCTCGCTTACGGCGCGTGTTCACTGACTTACCATCGCTTTCGTTTTCATCATTATAAACATCAAACACTGCATTTACAACAATGATAGCGTAAGAAGATCTTCATGTGATTCATATCAAATAACTGATAGACCACAGTCGGTGTTTCAAAATATAAACAAAATTTAAAATTGTAATTTTACCAGTCTTCGAAAAAATACAAATTCAAAACAGTAACTGGAAATACTTTCTTATAACAAAACAACTTTATCGAAAAATCTCAACTTGGAAATATAGAGAGATATCAAAATAGGTCCATTAATCATGAAAAATTTGCGAGCATTGGTAACTTCCTTTTTATGAAGTCCCTATAAAAATATATGCTATCGATCCCTACCTTCTTATATAAATATATTTCAATTTCTATTTATTTTAAATAATGATCCATTTCAGGCTTTACCGAAGAATTTAATTTTGTAATCATTGATTGAAATTTTTGGCAATGTGTGTGGGCTTTGACTTCCATTTGGATTTTAATTTATTACTCCGAATCATATATCGTATGTGCTTTTTTAAGTAGTTCCCATTTTCTAAGTGGCATTTTCTTATTACTATTATTATGGAGCGTTTAGAGCTATTATATCATGGAGATTAAGTACTTACTAACATTCTAGCAGCTATAGAAAGGATTAGTTCATATCAAAATGTAACATTAATATTTTACAATGGATATAATAATAGTGAAATACTAATCCCACTTATTTCTGTCTAATTAGGAATAAAAGCAAACATTTTCGCAGAATACATACATACTTCAAATTAATATTTTACAATGGATATACTAGTGAAATACTAATCCCACTTATTTCTGTCTAATCTATACTAATATTATAAAGCTGAAGAGTTTGTTTGTTTGAAAGCGCTAATCTCCAAAACTAGTGGTTCGAATTGATTAATTCTTTTTGTGTTGAATAATCCAGTTATCGAGGAAGGCTGTGGGCTATATAACATCACGCTACGACCAATAGGAGCAAAGATATAGTGGTAAATGTGTAAAAAACGGGAGAAATTATTTCATCTTTGAAGCCTTCCGTTGCGTGCGCCGTGAAAACGGTTCAAGATACACAAAAAATATGTATTAAAGAATAACATCTCTTTTAATGATCTAAAAAACAGTCCGCGACAGTATATGTCTATCTTTTAAGATTAACTCACAAAAACCGTTTTTATGGTACCTAATTTGGTCGAAATAATTTAAGTTATATCAACATAATTATATTTTAATCTTTATTCAAATAAACAAATAAATATGTTGTTGGTTAAGAGTACTTCATTGTGAATAAAAAAAACATAGGTTTTATCCTGAAAATTCTACGGGAACTCGACCATTCCGAAAACCCCGCAAGAACGGGAACTATGTGGGAAAAACCAAAAATCTGCCGGAAGTCACTATTCCACGCGGACGAAGTCCGGCAAAAGCTAGTCTTCTACATATATATATAAAAATGGATTGCTGTTCCTTAGTCTCGCTAAAACTCGAGAACAGCTGAACGGATTTATCTTATCTTAGTCTTGAAATGTTCGTGGAGGTTCAGGGAAGGTATAAAAGCTGAAAAAAATTGATTCATTAATGGGAAAACCATAAAAACAGCCCTTTTCTATTTCCCATACAAACGTTTTTTTTGACTGTCGCACTTCAAAACACGGAGATTTATGGCTTACTGGTAAACTCCAAAAATATAAATAAAAAAACGTAATAGATATTTCTTGATTATAGGGCGATACGAAGTTCGCCAGGTCTTCTAATTAGAAATAAAAGCAAACATTTTCGCAGAATACATACTTCAAATGATTAAATTTATCATTCCAGCTTTTTGATCTACAGAAATTTAAAAATAGAGCCCACAATTACCGCTCCTTGGGAAATATTTTAAAATGCAAAGGATTATGAATGCTTTTTCCATTTCACGCGTGCTTAAAATAAAAAGACAAAAGTTGCATACATTTCGCGATAGAAATGTTTCTCTTACACCGGTCCTACCAATGTTATGTAAAAATGTGCTATTAGCTTCAGCTATATTTATTACTTAATTAACCTCTTTTTAGAAAAGACAATATTTTGTTAGACTATCAATAATGTTAGGTAAACATTTACACTATCTATGACTGACACCTATGATACTTCGTTTCATAAATTAAATTTGTTAAATAATAAAA